CCTTCAAGAGTAAATTGGATGCTTATCTTGCTGTGATCCTATGATCCTGCTTGCTTTGCCCTCCCCCTTGAATCTCAGGCTGAACTGCCCGTTAGCAGTAACTGGATCATGACAGCAAGGCTGGAGGTTTCCCTACATGCTGCTTTCTGCAGCTGAGAAACCACAGGAGCTATTAGCTAAAGATATGCAAGACTTGCTACATAAACTGACAAGAAATGTCTGAGCAGCCTAGGTTGTGACACTGGCCGTGTGAGGCACTGTCCCTTTGAAGGCATATCAGAGAGAAGAGTGGCATACTGGATAACACCGAGCTTGCAGCCATGCACTCCAGTGACCCAGTTTCCACAGGGAGCTAAAGGACAGAGAGAGCTGCTTTTAGATGCTTGGGTTATCTGGTTTGCATTGTGAATTTAGGCCCAGATGTGCAATGTATTCAGGCACCTAAACTGCCCTTGCGCATCCCGCTGTTAGCATCTGTATGGAAAAGCCACTGAAATCAGTACGACTGCTGGCACGGCCACCTATCCACGTGCAGCCCAAAGTTAAGCAAGAAGAGCCCTTTGGGTCAGTCACGTGTGGCTTTAATCTTTCGAGCATGGGGCTACACACTGCATAGGGCTTAGCCTCGTCTGTCCATTTGTTATCACTCTCTGGTACTGAGCAACAGACTACACATGACGTCAAGACAACAAAGCATTCCCCACCTCACGCTAAGCACTAGCACGTCCTTGGTCTAGATGCCCTGAAATCCCCACCGTGCATGTGCATTCACTGCAAAGAAACCTGTTTTATCCAGGCCAAGTCAGGCAAAGATGGCTTCCGTTCCAGCGTGGGCTGCATTTAAATGGAAGCAGAGGCTTGCATTGGAAAAACAGTGTCCCGTGTGCCTGAACCACGCAGAAGCAGGTTTTGGAGCAAGTTTAACAGAATTCCCTAGACAAACTGAGAGCAGTCGTGGACAAAGCATGTCAATGTTTCTGAGGATAAGTACCATTTATCAACACTGCCAGTGGGAATGGGATCCAAAAAGAACGACTGTTCCTCCCCAGTGTGGTAAGGAGGCTGGAAGGACTTTGCTGTCCAGCACCAAAGTGATATACGTTAGGCAAAGAGTAAAGCTCTGCTTTTAGCAAGTGGGAGTCCTTGAATCAAAGCATCCAGCCAGGCGACCACTCTCATGACTGCCAGCGAACTTCCTTCTGAACTCGGCTAGAGAAAAAGAACAAATCTCCAGCTCATTTCTCCTTCTAGTTCAAAAATGCTCTTGTGAGCATCCTTCCTTGCCAAGCACTTGGCCTGGCTAGGAAGGATGAAGTCTGGGTGAGAAAGTCTCTGAGTCCCCAGAACCATCTCTCGTCTCTCTTTCAGGGCTGGCAGGATATTTTTTGCCATCCAGTCCCAGCTATTCAGGGGTTGTGGCTTGGCCAATCCCATCATTTATTTACTTTTTACACTGAGTCTACTAAAAACCTTTCTTAAAAAAAAAAAAGGAGAGAAGAAAAATCAATCATCCTTCTGAAGATGCACAAGTATTTATAGCCAGTGATTCAAGAAACTAATTAGGCTCCCATCTTCTCCGCCTCTAGCAGTCTTAGAAGTCTAGTATCATCTGTGTGCCCGGCTCCTCCAGAATCGCAATGCTTTCTTCTCCTTCAGCAGTGACCTTGAGACAAGCCACATATGGTCGCACATGCTACTGGCACTTTTTGAATCCACTGCTCTACCAAGTCTTTGCTCCTGCCAGTGTTTCTTTTACCTTTAACTACTCAACGCAATATGCTTCTTC